TTTCCCATATATAAAGTAGTTTTGCTATTACAGTAGTTTTTATCTCAGTGTACTTTTTTACGTGGACACCCTGTACATGTATATCCGGTGTGATACAGTGATGCACAATGCTTACATCAAGACCAAAGCAATGCCGAAAACATTCAGTATCTACCATTTGAATAATTTCCATTTTAGCATGTCTCAGTTTTGCATATATTAAAAAAATTAATCTACTTCAAGCAGCTGTCTTTGATTGTCTCCTAATACCGACTTTGACCCGAATTAACCAATGAATGCCTGAACACTACAACTATCTTTTGGGTTTTTTTTCGACTGGTGATGAAATGTGTGGATGCAACAAAGCGTATGATTCCAGTTTAGAGGCACGGGGGTACCCATGAAAATATTATGACCAACCTCGACCTATCAATACGCCCACAGTGTTGGATGGTATGAAAATGGATGAGTTCTTAATGCCACCATGACAACAATTACCATGAGGAACAAAATGACACTAACACAGGGGGACAACTGCGGAAGCTAAAAGGAAAGAGATCAGTTGAAGTCATAATCAGCATGATGGATATGAAGCTACAGTTGAAGGATACTTGCAAGGCATTGATACACGTAGTTCTTTGTCATTGTTTGTGTTTTGTTTGAGTAAACCATAGAGGAAAAAAACAAATTTCCCGGACAGATGATACATTTCATACTGATTTGGGTTTTTTGGTTCACTTTAGGCCAGACTTTCTGACAACTCAAGAATACATTTCTAATTTTGCTGGATAGAAAACAAATGTATGTGCACTGCTTCCAAAAGAGAGACAGGGTTTTGCACTGTATGATATGAGGCCAGCAGTTTGGAAGTACAATAATAGTTTTCATATCCGGGCCTGCAGTAAGAGCAACTTTTGCATCCCAACAAAAACGGCAAAAGCAGAAAAATACAATAAAATAATAACAATAAACCAATCCTAAATGCAGTATCGGAGGAGTTTCACAGAGCTAAAAGCTTCAGGCTTTTGATTTTAGTTTCAAAAGGCACTCCATCAGTTTTAAGTCTCCTCCCCCCCCAACCCTCGATAATGGCAAATGTCCGGGAATGAGTAATCGTACCGAACCAAGTCAGTGATTCTTGCTCGGAGGAGGGGCTGGGGACATTTTCCTGATCTTGCTCGATTATGCTGGGCAATTCCTGGACCTCCTCTTGTCGGAAGAGGCCCCTACTGCTGCTCCGTGAACCCATTTGGCCTGTGGGGAAAGGGGGAAGAAAGCAATGGGGGGAAAGGAAAGAGGGAACGAGACAGAAGAGAAGGTGAGGGTAAGGGGTAAGGATGCAACAAAGCGTGGCCCAGACATAAAAGCAATAGGAGAATGTGAAACCTAGATCTAACTCATATCCGTGCACAGTGACACTCATTATTTTTTACAATCCGATACCAAATTCACAAGTTTCAAACTCACTATGGTGTCTACCGACAGAGGGAAAACTCACTCAAGTCGACATACTGTAAATCAGTTCTGAAAATCACACTTCAGTAATATGTGACACAGGTCCAGTGTTCCAAAAGTTCCCACACCAAACGTGCAATAAAATTCGATCTGTGCAGGGACAATTATGAGGGGAAACAAGACTGCCAAACAAAACTACAGCACAGAAACATTCAGAAGGAATTATTAAATTAAGACTGTGACACTTTCTGCATATTTACAAAATGAATCAAGCAAACAATACAAACAAAACGTTGAATAACCAAATAGCTTGTGGGGTACAGAAGAGCTGATTTGTACAGTACATGGAGCCCAGTGTTTATTGGATGGAATTTGTGTTTGAATTTCCACATATTGGACAATGAGATGTACATGGTTATTTTGGCAACAAGTAATTAGCATTATTCATGGAATGTGGCATTTCAGCACCATGCATGGGGAATCGGCAGTGTTTAGTTCACTAACGTCTGTGATAGTATAGTCAGAAGGTCCCTAATTTTGCCATTTACTATGAACACCTTCCAGACTTCACAACAGGTGGCAAAATAAGGGACCTGGCAACTACACAGTCATGGAAGTTAATCTTCACTACATTTCTACTCTTACATGCACTAAATTAAGCAACTGACTGAACTTAAGACTTTACATGCATCACCTTGTATAGCCTTCTTGCACTCTCAGAAATACAATATGAAATCTTTCAACAATGCATATGAATCAAACTATTTTCTGAGCAAGAGGTATCAGTCATGGGAATACAATCACACAGGTTTCACCTTCATATTTACATTGTTTCCAATTAACATTGCCAGGGATGTTGTTTGACACCAATGCACAATATTGAGGTTAAGTCAAATAAGGCACTCGCTGCACAGCGCGGGGATCCACTGTGCGAATAAAAACACTTCAGCAGAGAGAACTCAGCGAGCAGCTCAATTCATGAAATCGCCACTGAATTCCTGAAAATCAAATTTCATGTTAGTACCAAAGAAAGTAAAGTATAGTTTCCATATCGACGTAAAGAGATGGGCAGACCATTGCCAATCAGTCCCAGTGAGATGCAGATATACAGAAAAGCTTGATCATGTCTAACACAAACACAGATGCACATGGTCAATAAACATGGATCACGTTCAATTCCGTCTTAGCATCATGTCACCAGGGTAGGCCCATACAAATGCCAATGCTGGCACTATGATATCTCTCTTGCACATGCCACACATTTCCCGTTTTCTACGGATAAATTTGAATATATACAAGTGACTTTTTTCAAAGCAAATTCCAAATGCATACAACGTTTAAATAACACAATCGAGAACTTCTTTGGAAAAAAAAATTCATGGTATCCTAAATGGAGAAATGCAACTTTAGTGACACGTCTGGTTATATAGATGCAAGCTGGTTCAAAGACCTCCTTGATATGTCTCCCTAATGATGTAAAAGACTTCTACCACACAGTCAAGGGACAGCAAACCCCTCCGGGCAAAAAAAAATCAACAAGTGCACGTGCATCACTCGAAATATCAGTATACTGAGTGCATTAATATGTTGAATTGTCTGCACGCTGTAAACTGGTAAAAAAGTATCTAGTGGTTATAACGACTGCAAATTCACGTGTACATACAGCAAGGGAAAACGTCTCAAGTCACATCATATATACTGCATCTGAACAAACTTAAAACAATTTAACCCTCACTTCCAAAATCCTCCTTGCGTAAGAGGATGCTTTTGGAAGGATTACGGCTGTGTGGCAAACATGCATGGCTGATTTCAAAGGAAGCATTGTGTCGAGGTCTTGGGCAAACCTTGTGTTGTTGATACCCAGCCATGCATACATTTTGGCACTGCTTATACTGCTCCTGAATATCATTCACACTGCAACAACCCACAGACCGGATAGCCTGGGGGATTTTGAAGGATTGAGGCAGTGGTCAGCGGATTTTGAAGGATTGAGGTTGCATCCTAGCAAAATTGTCGTGGGGGTTGAACTTCTGACTGGTATCTTTTTATGTCAACTTGTCTAAGCAGTCCCATTAACTCATCACTCACGTGGAATCATGTGTGTGTGTGTGGCCAGCAGGTCAGACCTGTACTGTAAGAACCAACTGCTACTATCCAGGGGAACATGAATAAGTGCCATGTTCCACATGTACGTAAGTTGGAAACCTTCACTAAATCAAATTACAGGAATGGTCAAGTTCTCAATGTCCAGAGTGACGAATGCAATGCCAGATGCTTAGAAGGCACTACCTATTTTTCACATTCATATGACACCTGGTACCTATCCAGTACACAGGTCAATGAGTTATCTCACCTACAGAATTAAGACTGAACCTCCATGATAAACGCAAACCAACTTACCAGCTCCCAGGTCAATGGAGCGGGTCCGCTGAACAATTCCTGTGACCGACATCTTGCGGGTCTTGCTTATCCCGGCCACGTGCTCCTCAGAGGACTGCGAGGTCAGCGGGGTCTGGCCCTCTTTGGCCTCCACCACAGGGGGCAGGAAGGGCACGGGGCAGGTCTGTTGGAGCTGGGACTCCAAGTACTGGTCAATGGGCATGTCTTGTTCTGTCGATACATTGTAATGAAGACAAATAAGCCTTTTGCAAGTTAAATTTGAATGAAATGCGGTACACTGACTTCTTTAAATTCACGTGAACATGACAATTTGAATTCTCCATACTAGAGACACTGTTGCTGTACATTGTGATTCGGGGCAAGCTTTTGCGTAGTTACACAAGAGAAGCTTTGAACCAATACACCGTTTTCAATGAATAAGAAGGGTACAAAGGAACCAGTCCATTCCACAGATAGTGGTCGCCATGCAAAAGCTTGCTCCGAATCACGAGGTATAGTAACAGTGTCTTTAGTCTGGGGAATTCAAATTGTTTTGTTTATGTGCAATCAGATAACTCAGTGTACCAAACTCTATTCAAATTTAACTCACAAATGGCTTATTTTGCAATTAAACATGGAAATGATGAGACACAAAATCCGCTTTGTTGCCTGTGCCATTGTTACCTGTGTTGCCCATTTTGCCAGTTTTGGTTTGTGGCTCTGCATTCTGTTTTTTAGCAATGCCCAAAGACACCTAACGATTGATAATACAAACAGCATCTGCTCAGTTATTTAACACAGCAAACCAAGCATCGAGTAGTCTGTCTCCTGTAACAAAGTGACTTCAGGACATAAAAAATCTATGCCATGGACTTCTGAGGGAAGGACAAAGGCACCAGTGCCCCAACAATGGTACTGACCCTGGTCCATCGTCTCAAGGAAGCTGAGGTGTTTGATGCAGGACGTGCTGAGAAACTCGTGCAGCTGACCCATCTTGACCTGCACGCCGTTCAGGTAGCCTGTCTTGATCTTGCGGATGACAGCCCACATGGCACTACCCAGCATACCATGCTCTCCTACACAAAGAGAAGAAACATCTTGAGACACAACTCTCAAAGAAAATCTCTTTTCAAAGCTTGCGTCATACCACATAGCTTATGCCAGAATATATTTCCACACTGATCTCAACTAGGGCTTTTCGTAAAACCAGGTACCTAGGTACCAACCAATAGCAACCTGATCTAGATTATGGAAGCAGGTGCCTGTAATCAACTTTACGTATTACATGTACTTTGTAAGTTCTTACACTAGGAAAACTTTTCAAGGCCGCCTGAGGAGAATTATAAAAATGAAAACAGGACATCACAGACAAGATGACTGCAGAAATTTCCGTCATAATGCCACATGGACGAAGTTCATTCTATACACTTGTATCCTTGTGTGTATATTGAAGCACTGGGGTATGGTATTATGCCTTACTATCTGCAGGTATCTGAAGGAATCAAATTGTAAAATTTAAATATTGGTTTGTTCCATAGTTACCCGAGTATACGCTTTTTGTAGTCGGGTACAAATTTTCCAAATGCCTGTAAATGGATATCCTTCATCATAATTGAGGGGATTCAGAGATTTTAAGGTTTTAAAGTTCGAATCTCTCTTGATTCCATGCCACTGAAGGAGGCCCGTAACTTTATGAATAACGCCGGCACATTTATTACTGTCTTTTGAACTTACACAACAAGGCTGACCACTGCAAAGAATGGTGACCAGTTCCATCCCTTTAATGCTTTCCAGTTTGCAGATGCAACTGAACATACCCTTGGCTCTTCCATTTTTCACAGTAATTTCACAGTAACTTTCCAAGCTCATTGCAGGGCCATTTTGACGTTCTACGTGTAATAACTGAAACCGTTCATTCTTCTGTACATCATTTGTTGCTGGAGTGCATTATGAACTTCAAAAAAAGTCTAAAACAGCAAAGAATTTCAACATGAATAAATGTAACTTAATAAAATAAAAGAAGCTTGCAATTTTGCTTGAAGTTGCTTCAACAGAATTGCTTCAACAGAGTTATTGCTTGCAACAGATCCAGCAAACCCACAGATTTGGCTTTGAGAAATGCAATGAGAATTACCAATGACAATACAAAAACAAAGGTTAAACAGATGTGTGACCAAAGATTACCAAGGGATCTCTGCTATTTCATCTCTTCCAATCTGTCAGTCATATCAGAGCTAACATTCGGCCTAAAGACAGACACAACTCTGAAAGGAAGTACCACACAGAGAGGCCTCACCGGCTGGGTAAAGTTCCCACTGTGTCTCCTCAGGTTGGGGCTCCTCGCCCACTTGCTCATTATTTGGCGGGTTGGTCACCTTTTTCTTCCGTTTGCGCAATCCTTTGGTAGGGGGGGGGTTTGCATGGGCATCATAAGAAATTCAGTGATCAATATGTTGTATATTTGTGGATAAAGACATAGGGTGTTGTTTCCATGCTAACATGCCGGGCTGGCAGGTAAAGCTTAAACAACATCAACTAGTCAGAAAGCTACACAAAGCAGAGAGGAAGCTCCCACTAAATTCAGAGTTTCATATCTTGCCTCTGCATGCAGGAAAAAGCTTGGACAAAACAACCACGGCAGACTTCTCGGGCTCAGACAGTGGGACAAAATGACGGTGGCAGGCTGTCCCCAGATAAATGCTTTAAAGCCACACAAGGATGGGCACACTAATGCACACTGGCTAAGACAAAAACGAGAGTAACGGGCCATGGAAATGAGAGTTCAGATGTTAGGAAAAGAGAAGTGCTGCGCTTAAAGAGTGCTTACATAGAAACAAACACAGTCCAGTAAGCACTTGCACGAAACAAGGCAAACTGTTCTTATATTGGAAACTGTCAATATCCCTGAAACTAGTGATGGCAAAATAGATTGAGAATGCTGCTGACAATGTTTACACCAGATCAGAACAACTTTTCTTTTGGTGTGCCGGTTTTGTAACACTGAGCCTCCAAACTGATTAAACATTGTGAAAACACATGATTTTTATACAGTTCCATTCAGACCTGGTCAATAATTTCTTTCACTTCTCCTGGTACAGTACATAGACATATCAGATGCCATTTGGCTGATTTTGATTGATAGGGACAGCTTTGTCCCAAATGAATAGGGGGGGTAAATATCTGTCAAATGAGTATATTTCTATCCCTTAT